AATCCAGAAGGGACACACACAGTAAAACTGCACACACATACTAACATGAGCACACACACCTACACTCGCATTTATAAAACAGTTATCTTGAAACTTTGTATGTATTTTTTAAAGGTTCTATTTATTACTATTGTTTTTAAGTTGCTATAACAGCTGCGTGGTGAAGTACCAAAAAAACAAATGTTTTTAGGGATAGTATGTGTGTATTGCTGCTGTTGAACGGTCATACCTGTAACTGCCGTTATGTCACTTAAGGATGGTGTCATCAACCCCAGAGCTTACATGAGATGCATGTTTTTTTTTGTTTTAAACAGCCAAGCACAATCATTTTCTTTCTTTGTCATTTTTCAAGTATGAGGCTTTGCATGCATTTTGTAATGTGTGATTCAAATGCACATCATCATAAAACCTCGTCATAACACTCTTTGCTTTGCTCTTTTCAAGTTAGAAACACAAAAGTTTTGACCCAACAGTGCAACGTTCTCAGCTGGACAATTTTCCACCCTGCCAGTATATCAGCTGTTCTTTATTTATGGCAAACTGAAGTGTGAAACCACTCAGTGCACTGAGCAACACGGCCAACTCTCAGTAATTATGCGTCCTCCAGGGACTGTGCTGCTAACCTGCCCGCAGTAGTTTAATAGTGGCTATTAACACCACTGGCACTGCCAGCTCCTTTGGCAAGGCATTGGCCCCGACATGGCACAGACCAAGTGTTGATAGGTGATCAACATCACACAAAGACACTGGAAATGACCCAAATCTATTCAACACAGAGTTCATGTGAAGCTAAGCTAGCAGAGCAGAGAGGACAGGCTGGAGAGAAGAGAATGAAATGATCAGCATGATGCCTCTTGCTGGGATGGCAGGATGGTAAATCAATAAAAAAAAATAGGCTATTTTCTCTTATGAAACATTGTTCATTTTTCTCGGCTTTCCTCTGAATATGTAACACAGCAGATTTCATTAAATTCGTTGCTTCTGATGTTTTATTAAACTCAGTGTCTGGTTAAGTGTTTGTAATATTAGGTTATGATCCTGAGGGATAAATCCACAGTGGTCAGAGAGGAGCACTAACTGCTGAAACTCAATCGTTCTCAAGAAAAAACAAGAGGAGGAATACGTTTTATTTTCCTTCAACTTATAGTGAAGTGTATGTTCACTGCAATATGGGGGGTTCACAGGTTATTAAACCATTCTGTAATTCAATCGTTGACCCTGAAGGTTATAATCTTATTCTTACAAGGCATCATGAAGAAAATATATTTTTTAAACATTGTGTCATATGCAGAAACCTTAAAACACATTGACCTAAGAGAACATTGTTCAAGCCAAAGTTCTAACAAGACGATTGTTAAAAAGAGTAAACCTACACGTCGCAGTGATACCGAAGCTTTGAAGTTTGTACATTATGTGGCTGATTCAATACAATGTGTCAGAGCTTGTATTGTACATGGAATGTCACATGACTGATGACGTCTGAAGCTTCAAACGCACCAGTGCGTCATTCAGATTTACATTTTTCCAAAGTTTTTACAGCTAAATTTGCACAAACTGGCATATTTTTTCAGGCAAGAAGTTTACGAAATATAGTGACATATAGTGTATATAGTGGGTTTTTGGGGGCTAAAGTTGTTCCAAGCTGTCATTGGGCAAGAGGCTGTGTAGACCTTGGATTGGGGACCAGTCACAGGTCTGACACATAGAAACACATAACCATTCACGCTCACACTAACTCCTATATGGGCAATGTAGAGTCACCCATTGACCTAATGAGAACATCTTTTGATTGTAGAAGGAGGGCTTACTACCCAGAGGGAACCCAAGCCTGCCAAGAAGAACATGGAAACTCCACGTTAAATCCCCTGTCTGACCAGAGTTTTGAACCAGGAACCTTAATGCTGTGAGGCAACAGCGCTAACCTTCACCACTGTGTAGCTTTAGTATAAGTATTTAATTAATTTATTAATCTTCATACGACTTCAACAGCCTATCACTACTCTGTACTCTCTTTCACACTTCCTACAAAATGTGTCTTTCTCTCACTGTCTGCACATTTTGCTCAAGGACTCTGAATAGAGATGACATTTTTACACTGCTGCCATTTAATATAACAGGGGACATATTTCCTAAAAAGCCAATTTCTTCTGCAGGTTTCAAGAAGGACACATTGTCATTTTGTGTAAGACTACATTCTCGGGCACATTAGGAAGTCCCACTCCATTAACATGAGCTCAGCAGCTCATTGCTTCTCTCTCCTTGCTTTTTCAGTGGATTATTGCTTGGTGAGCCAATGACACCACTGCACTTAAAAGTGTGTTAAAATAAGGATTAAATATATACGTTTAAACATTATATACAGTGCCATTAGACTACATTTAGAGAATACTATTTTTTATGAACAATGGATAAAGGGGTTTTTCGTAAAGATGAATCCACTAATCTTCATAAAACAATGTTCTGGATCAGTCATTTAGGAAAAGCTTCATTGAATTTCATTGTCATTTTGCCCTGTAGAAAGTGAAAAATGCTCAATATGTTAATTGAATAATCTGAAAACACTGTAGTTCATCCCATCTGCACATAGCACTTTAGCATCATTAGCCTGTTGTTTAACAATACGATACAGGGGACAATACACTGTGTCGTATCGTATCAGCTGCTTCCCCTAGAGTCAATAAACCCGGTTTTAAGAATTTCAATCATCCACCCTTCCATTCATTACCTATACCGTTATTTCCCATTCGGGGTCGCGGGGAAAAAAGACCAAGTAAAAGACCATACATCGTAATGTTACAAAAGAAAAATGGGATGGGGGAGATGGGATAAGATTCCTGCTGTCCACACTTCCTTCTGCTGAGGTGGAGGTCAGAGCAGGACGTGATATCAAATCCTTTGATATCAGAACACTGAGCCCGATGTGCAAACTTGTTCAAACTAAGCAGTAACCTCAGGGGCTGTAAAACATTGAAGAGAACACTGAAGTGACACAATCTGCAGTGTTCCAAAAGTGGCCCCTTCAGGCTGACTCCAAAAGTGAGAAAAAGTCAAGCTTCAAAGCAGAACTAAACATCTATTTAGATTAGTACAACAAATAATTGTTGTCTCTTTAGCTCTAAAGATGGGGATGGAGCAATTACTGTTCTATACAAATATTTTGGCAGTTAATGTATAATTTCATCACATTTTTGTTTGAAATGAATGAATACTGTATGATGTTACAAAGCACTCCATGTATGCAGAGACACAAAATGACAGAAAAAAATCATATATACATAAATATATGTTTTTCTTTTATAACATTTGTATACAGTGATCTGCTCTACAAACACTTGAAACTTGAAAGGTTTCTTAAGTCTTGAATTTTTTACAGATCAGTTTGTCTGAATACAAAGAAAGTGCTTTATTGTATCACTCAAGTGTCCCATACTAGCTCCCTGGGAGATGACTGAAGGTAGTAGAGCATTTAGTTGTCAATGACAGACGCTTGGATGTGAACACACACAGTGAAAACCTCAGTGAGCAGCTGTTTTGGCGATCTGTATCAACCAGGCTCGCTCAGACGTGTACTGGTTCATATCTGGAGAACTGACAGGTTATAAAACCCTCCTGTCATCCTTTCTGCTCGCCTTGATCTGAGAACACATCCGTCGATATAGAGCTCTTTTTTAGCCTTGACATTGTAATCTGGAAACGATAATATAACAGCAATGAAACTACTTCCTTTGATTTACATTTAGTTGTAAGAATAGCTATCCAAGAGCAATCATGTAAATGGAGATTTATTCAGAAAATATTATCACTGATAAAGATTTATGTTGGTTTAATGAGCCCCCAAAGGACCATTTACAGAGCCGTAAGTGGACATTCATGATGGACTGACACTTAAAACTCAGCCGTTATCCAAGGAAAAAGAATACACTTTGATTTGTCAGATATCAGTATCAGCATTAAGAGCTTATGTGAGCCACAGCTGAACAATTACGATTTAGGTCAATGGCTGCTGAAGGACGAGTTTAAAGATGGAGATTTTGGCAACTGCCGATGAGATTCGACAAAGATGACTCGGAGCATGTGAGAGAAATGATTGACTTTAAACAGGCCTCTTGGGTCTAGTGTTGTTGTTTTGCTGCCAGCTTTCCCTCTCTACCTGAATACCAATTGTTTTTTATACCCACTTCTTGATTCAGTGGATCCACAAATAATTAGGACATAACTGTTTTGTCACACGAGTTGTGTATTTGGTACATTTGAGAAGGCAACTGGAAGGGTTCCATTTAATATTTATAGATTTGGAATAAGCGACAAGGTACATGTCTACTGTTAACTCACTAATGTTGGCAAAAGTTTAGGTGATAAAAGTAAGAGTTATAAAACACTTGTTGCTGGGTGAAACACTTTCCTCCTGAACAGTTAAATCAGCCGTCCTTGAAATCCAGACAAAGTGTTGTTGAGGATGGGAAAATTACTTTTGTTTTTTGACACTGCCTGGAAGGTTAGATTCAAATGAATACATGTTGCACTAAGATTAATTTGTTCACATGAAATACAACACCCAAGCCTTTCCTTACAAATATAAACACATATTGATTAATGTTTGGCACAGCTTAATATATTCTCATGTCATAGGAAGGGTTTTGGATAGATCTATCTCCTGAGCTGTCTCAGTCAGGAGAAGAGCATATCATTGTGAGATTGGAGTAAAGCTGTGGATGAGATACGGGGATGGTTGTGGAGGAAAATGGACTGTTGACAGCAATCTGACTGCAATCCATCAGATCCCAAATTATGTTGCAAGGGCTAAAAAAGTTTCTCTGGCTGTATACACCACCACGCTTATAAATATTCATTGAAGAAACTCATTTCTGTTAATATAGAAAATGTATAAATGAACACATTTATGACTGATATTTCAATTTCCAGTGGGAAAATAGGACTTTTTGTCTGTCTGTTGACAGATTGCTAATGGTTTTATTTTCTCCCTCTCTTTTTCATTTTAGTTGTGCTGCTGGATACAACGTCTGTACTTGGAGAGCTGGGATGGAAGACTTATCCTATAAATGGGGTAAGGAAAGCAATATGTTTCTTTTGCATTGATCGTACTGTACGGGGTGCCTTGTTTCAAATGCAATGTCAGGGCAACACGGATGAGATAGATAATATTGACTTCAACAGAAAGGAAAGCAATAATCTATTTTAAAGCCTGATTCTTGTTTTAATTTAGACTCCTTTGTTTACACGGGAAAACTGCCACTTGGAGACAGATAAAGACCCAGGCTCTCTATGAGCTCCCTTAATGGTGTTTTATTTTCCCCTCTATATTTATATCTTGTTTTGTCACTTAAGGGCCAGAACAATACATGAATGGTTGTTCGCATGTTGGATTAAACACTTAAGGTTTAGACCATGCTTGCAAAGTCAACTGCCACATTTAAGATGTAAATGTTTTTTTTTTATCAAAGGTATATTATTAAGACTTCATTTCTGGTATAATCACTATTTCTTGAGATTACATTTTTATTGGACCATAATCGATCAATCAATCACTCAATCAATCTTTATTTGTATAGCACCAATTCATAACAAATGCTATCTTAAGACACTTTACAAAAATCAGGTAAAAGACCTTACTCATTGATTTATTATCAAAGACCAAAGAATAATCCATCATGAGCAACGTTACAGGGGCAAGAAGATGCTTCCTTTAAAGAGGCAGAAAACCTCGAGCAAAACCAGACTCATGTTGAACAGCCATCTGTCGAAAATGTGTTGGGCTTGGAAAGTGGAATAGAGGGAGATGCAGGAAGAAGGATAGAGACAAACAGAGCAACAATAACAATGAATCAGATAGATTTGTACCTACAATGTTAGTAATAATGGTAAAAGTATGTATTAGCTGTAACAACTAAGTATGTTAATTATATTATTTATCCAGTTCCAACTCAAAAGTCAATCTGCCATCACACTTGTTCTTCATCTTAAGCTGGCCATTGAAAAGTGAAGTTCAAAACCCTTCATACAGCAAAAACTTCCATTTCACCTCTGGTTGCCTCTCAGTAACTTGTGTAAGGACTGCATGTACTGTGCTTTCTTCTGTATTTTCTGTCAGTCAACTTACCCATAGGGTGTATTCCCATTTTGTTCTAGCATTAAGTGCCTGCAGTTCCTCAGAAGTTTCTTGCTGGCTGAAAATTTGAACTTTGGAAACAGAAGCTCGTGCCAAACCGAAAAGGTATTGGCATCATGCAATATAGATGTGCTGACAACAAACTGTTACATCCTGAGACCAAAACCTCATGTTGCATCAGTACTCAGAATCTCTCTGTGCTTTCAGAAAACCAGACTGAGAGGTCAAAAAATATACATTTCAGTTATATTCAGAATGCAGCAGCAAAGCCCATGAAGTGAGGATGGGAAGGCAGCAATTTTTTTTAGGGGGGGGAGAGCACAGGGCTTCCCACGCTGTCCATCAGACTCTGCCTTTGATTATTCCATATTTTGCCATATTTAACTCACACTTGTTACTGCATTCAAGGGTCAGCCCCAAATATCACTATCAGCTGTGAACTCTTATGGCAGTACTTTTCAACAGATTGGAGCCTGTTAGAGAATGAAATAAATGCAACACAGTTTATCTAAAAGACATTGTAAGGACACAAGATGAGAAATGAGTTTGAATCAGTTTTTCTTCAACAGCCTTTAATATCTTTATTGGCCTTAAACACCCATTAACCTCCTATATTATCTCTCTAACGTCACTGCTTGTATATGTAGTGTCTTTACCATACACCTCTTACTGTAAAGTGTGACATATTAAAGTATTAATTACCTCCTAGCTGTGCTGGCAACAGAGAACAGGTTCATAGAAAGCAAATTAGCTGTAAAAAGCCACCATTGTCTATGTCGTCTATGTCGAATGCAGGTGTGAAAAAAAAAAAAAAAAAAGGTGCTGCAGCAGGGTCACGCTGAGTGTCTTCTTCATTTCTTCACTGTACTTTGAACGGGATTCAAAGTCTTTGTGGATTTGGACTTTTAATGATCCTCGGCTGGAAGATCCCAAACCCCCCCCTCAGCCCCTCTCCTGTCTATCTATCTCTCCCTGCAAGGCCCTCAGTGGCCCATATCAGGGTTATGGAGGTGATTACATCATGTAGGTCGTGGTGACAGCCGCCCACAGCGTTAAGGCAAGGGAGAGAGAGAGAGCCTGCTGCCTCCATGATTAAGCTGTCAACCCTCTCCCCTCCTCACTCATCCTCTATCCTCCGATTTACCATTAATATTTAAGGCTGCGAGGTGAGAGGGCCTGAGGGAAGGTGTGAAGATCTGGGGAGGTAAAATAGTTTAAATCCCCCTCACTACCAGGGAGCCAGCAAGAGGAAGTCAATCCCCAGCATATTAGACACAGCCTGGTATCAGGCCGATACAGCAGTACACCATGTAGCTGCCTATCGGAGCCACACACTGCTTCTAGTTCCGCATATATGCTGTCTGTCAGCCCTGTCCAATGCCCATCTTAAAATAATTTCATATGCAGTAACTGTTCCTACACGATTACTCGATGATGAGTTTGCCAGGACTTTAGCTGGTCTTGTGATATAAAATTCAAGGTGAAGTGGAAATTGAGGTCTTTATTAATGGATGAGTTTTTATCAAATGCCGGTAAACAACTCTTGTAAAAAAAAAAAAAAGAGGAAGGTGAGTGGTTTTGTGGAGGAGGAAGGTTATCCACAGTTACATTAGTGGTGGGCCACATTTATAACACAGGACGCTGTGCTGTGGCCTTCTGCATGATACCAAAAAGTGTTGTTTAGAAGGATACCCTAATAAACCTATAGCTGCTTATTCAATGTCAGGTGTTATGGGTATAAAGAGCATCAGCTAAAAACAAAAAAAAAGTCAAATGTAAGAGCATGGAAAGTTGTTGCACCCGAGGTTTTAAGAGTCTTGAACAGTCTAGGTCTCAGGAACCTCTTGTGTATTTATCATTGACTTTTTTTTGCCTATATTGTGTGCTGGTATTCCACACAGGGCAAGTACTCTTACATAAATGTGTTCCAAACAAATAGGCCCATGTTGATGGCTCAATCTGAGCTACGTGTGGAAGGTCTGCTGTTATTATTCTGCCTGTTCTGTGATTTCTAGAGAAAAATTTAAAGATGAATATATATGATGATCACCGCAGATGTGAAGTGTGAGTAACAATGATCTTTGAACAAGTCAGTCAGATGTGTGAGTGAGTTATGACTCAGAGCAGATGGGAGATGTGGTGCAGGGTTTTAAACTACAAGTGGAGTGCAGCTCCCACTGCTGACCGGACTGTGTTTGTTGAACAGGCCAAAATAAGAGGACAAGACCAAAAATAGCAACCTCTATTTGTAACATCTCTCTATTCCTGTCCGGCTTTGTTTTATGAAAATAATAGCCAGGGTGAAAGTTATTGGGAAGATTTAGCTGTCGGTGTGGGTGGTGTGAGGGTTCATTAGCAACTTCAGGCACACTTTCGTGCGATTATCAGTGTTGCCTGGGAATACTTTTCATTAAAATAAAAATTACAGGAAATGCCTGAGATGCTCCAAACAATTAGGTAATTGCACTTGGTCTCCCCCCATCACAAGAGTGCATCTCCCTGTAGGTGCACATGTTAGGCATCTCCAGCACACTGGAACGCTGTAAGCAGATGTTAAACACCGTGAACACGATCATACATCTTGGTCATGCCCAGCAAGGTGCCCTTTGATTTTTTTTTTTTTTTTTAATACCTGCTCTGATTCAATCGGCCCGCAAGGGGAAACAATGCAAAGAGGGCTGCTGTTATGTTTGTTAATGACTTTACAGAATGTGGGAATATCCTCAGAGTTAGAAAACACACTCACCCTGAAAGGATTTACTCATTAGATTTGTGCATATTGAACAGCAATTGATCTATATCTTTCAAGGACTTTGACTCTGCAAACTTTTTTCCCCCTGTAGAAGTTAATAACTGTGTGTGTTTGAGAACGCCAGCAGCAAGCTAATGCTTCAGTGGAATAGTTGTTGAGAGGTTGTGTCTATGAGGCAAAGATGTGTGTCTCTATTCTCGGGTCTTTCTCTCCATGTTCTGAAATGCTGAATAGTGATGAAAAACAGGGCTGAATGAAAGAGAGGCGGAAAGAGGAGATGGAAAAGAGGGTTGATTTGGCGTCTGCATGCAGCCACGATAAGCTCCACTCAGAATGGGCAGACACTGCTGAAATATGCATGAGTCATTTCCCAGTGGCGGGTTGGGGGGGGGGGGGGGAGAGAGAAAGCATAGCAGAGAAAGGAACAACTTATTTATTAAATTACATGAAACAGCTTTACAGGATTAAGAATGCCTAATGTTGCCTTTTGTTTTCACTCATCGACACCAGAAAGGAAATTGAGTAGAGGCAGGTTAAAGGACAAGGAATGATGGCTGTCCTTCAGAAAAGGAGGGAATAATCCTATTTTTATCTTTTGTCAGAGGTCCCAGGCAGCCAATAAGTCAGCTCTACCGGGGGCGGATAAACACAGTGTTATGTAAGCGGGAGCACATTGGTTTATTGCCTCCAGAACACAGCTCAGACAAATATTGGACTGTGCAACCTCGATACCTTACAAGTGTTCAGCTTAGAGCTGGACATTTGTCTTAGTGTGTGTGTGTGTGTGTGTGTGTGTGTATGTGTGTGCATGCATGCATGCGTGTGTGTGTGTATTTTTGATGGAATGAATGAGAGTATGGTTTACTTGAGGGTGTTTTTCAAAGCAGCCAGCTACAGCACTGAATCATCAGTGACAGCATTGATATGGATATGATGAAGGTTGTTGTTACATTTCTAATGATATCGAGATTCAATATATCATTCAGAAAATCAAATCAACATAATATGGTGTCTCAAGAATGTTTGTAACCGTAAAGCACCAATTGTCAGAAGAAAAAAATGATACTTAAAGATTGTAAGCCTATCAGTGATTGATAAAGTGACTAAAAGCACAAAAAACAAATTCCAACAAATTAAATATTTCTTTATTACAGATGAAACCAACGCACTATACTTTTATAATTTT